CTCTCTCTTCAAAAATGCCCCTTCTTACCATTCTGTCACCCTCCTATTCAGAAGTTACTATGTAAGGGGTTCCTTCCACACTCCCAGAAGTGTTCATTTCTATCCTTCCTTGGTTTTCCTAACAGATACTGCCTTGACAGAATGAATAACATGGTCATGTAACACCTCTGAGAGCCCATGTCTTGTGGTGGCTAAAGGTGAGGAGTCAGAGGATAGAATTTGAATCTTGGCTCTGTTAATTACTAGCTGTGTGACCTTAGGCAAGTCACTTTAACCTCCATGATCCTCAGTTCTCTCACCTATAAATAATAATAGTGCCTACATTACTGGCTTGCTGTGAAAAATAAATGTTCCTAACATAGGACCTGTCATCACATGATAAAGACTTGACATTCCAGTATTACTATGGATGGGTGAAGGAAGAGCCCAAAGATGGCAGATGAGCATATTATGCTCAAGTAATTTGAAGAGTTAACTCTTGGAGTAGTATCTGAAAGTGCAGCCCTCTTGAAATCATGTGGTGATTCCTTTGAGAAAGCATGTGAGAAACTATCAAATAGTGGCAAATCAATAGTAAATTCACACACACACTCTCAAAAAAGCTGACAGGGGCTGCTTTTAGGATAGTTCATCTTTGGTTATGACACACGAAAGGAAATTAGTTGTTGCACAAAGCCAAGAACAGAAAGCAACGTGGAGATACACCTTAATTTCTCTGCAAAAAGATCCTGTTTGGTGGTATGGAGACTCTCAGTGCTGCCTGTTACAAGTGGAGACATTTAGGAAGTGGAGAACAGTCCAGGGTTAGTTAAGATGAGTAAACTTCAAATTTACTTAAAATGTCTTCCCATTATTTTTCACTTAAAATGTGAAATAGGGAAAAGGGAAAAAAATGTTATGGAATCCATTTTCTACCATGAAAGAAAATATAAAACAAATCACAACTATTTCCAGATGAACACCTTGTCTAAAACAAATGAGAGATTTAATGCATTACAAAATGACACTTGGAGGGTCTTCTTGGCTGAAAAAATTCAAACTTTATTCCCTTAAATGAATGTAAGTATCCCCATGTGCATTGGTCTCAGACCAGAAAACTCTGGGTGCTTTTCCTAACCAACTTGAAGAGAAAATTCAATTTACTATTATTTGTTTTTAAACAAATCGAAAGCCAACAGAGGGCAGCAAATTAATCTAACGGTCACTGACATCCCCTGTATTAATGTGTTACTGAAGAATGAAGAAAGAAAAAACTGCCTTTGCATTTGTAGAAGAGAAATTTAGAAAAACACTCAGAGTGGTTTTTTTTATGCTCCTTTGTTCAACTGTGGTGAATTTAAAAAATTCTCGTATTGGCTTTTCATCTTGCAGGAAAGCAAGGTAGCAATTTTCCTTAAGGAATTGGCAGTGATGTGCTCAAGTGCTTAGACCTTGCCTTCCTTAGACCTTGGCAGGAAGAGGCTGTACTGGGGTGGAGGAAGAGTAGCCAGGAGTGCCTAAGAGGAGAGAAGATGCTCAAAACCTGCCATTCCAGGCTGAGGGCAGCTTTTTACAGACTGCATAAAACAGTAGTGTGGTGATAGGAACTCATGGGTTTGCCAAAGAAAACGAATCCACGTGCTAAATTCTGGCATGTGCATGATAGGTTGTTAAGGTATGGCATAGCCACTAGGCAGATTTCTAATCTCCTGCTCCAGAAAGTTACCCTATACCCATTTACTCCATGAGGATAGTGAGTGGTTGGATATTTTGATGTTATTAAGACTCCTGGTAAAGAAATTTGCAATTTGGCTTACTTTCATTTAGTTATTTTTTACACTAGCAACACCTGAAGGGAGAGGATCAGTAGTTCAATACTCACATCTATTAAGCCATTCACATCACACTTGTATAGTGTTGGCCCATTCTTGGGTAAGCAGGCAGTGCTATCTGATCAAATTCAGGTTTTGTGTTAATACAGGAAACACATAAAGTAGGATACTTCTTTGTTCTGCCACATAAAAGAGTTCCTGCAAAGGTCTTGGTGACAGAACGTAATACATGCTTCATTTTAACCTTTTTTCTATTTTATTCTCTGTGCTAAGATGTAAACAATTGCTGGGATTTAGTTCAGCTTAAAAAGTGGGCCATATACAATTAATATACAATAAAGGAGCCATGGATATATAATGGGTAAATGGCAGCCTTGTCAACAAATGGTATTGGGAAAACTGGACAGCTACATGTAAGAGAATGAAATGGGATTATTGTCTAACTACATATGTAAAAGTAAACTTGAAATGGATCAAACACCTGAATGTAAGTCATGAAACCATAAAACTCAGAGTAGAAAACATAGGCAAAAATCTCTTGAATATAAACATGAGAAACTTTTTCCTGAATGCATCTCCTCAGGCAAGGGAAACAAAAGCAAAAATGAACAAATGGGACTAAATCAAACTAAAAAGCTCCTGTACAGCAAAGGACACTATCAGCAGAACAAAAAGGTACCCTACAGTATGGGAGAATATATCTGTAAATGACTTATCCAATAAGAGGTTAACATCCAAAATTTATAAAGAGCTCACATGTCTCAACAGCCAAAAAACAAATAACCAACTAAAAAATGGGCAGAGGATCTCAACAGACACTCCTACAAAGAAGAAATTTGGATGGCCAACAGGCACATGAAAAGATGCTCCACATTCCTAATCATCAGGGAAATGCAAATTAAAACCACAATGATATATCACCTCACACCAGTTAAGATGGCCAACATTCAAAAGACAAGAAACAAATGCTGGTGAGGATGCCGAGAAAGGGGAACCCTCCTACACTGTTGGTGGGAATGTAAATTAGTTCAATCATTGTGGAAAGCAAAATGAAGGTTCCTAAAAAAACTAAAAATAGAAGTGCCATTTGACCCAGTAATTCCACTCCTAGGAATTTACCCAAAGAAAACAAGATCCCTGATTCAAAAAGGCGTAAGCACCTCTATGTTTATCACAGCACTATTTACAATAGCCAAGATATGGAAGCAACCTAAGTGTCTATCAGTAGATGAATGGATAAAGAAGAGGTAGTACATATACACAATGGAATATTATTCAGCCATAAAAAAGAAAGCAAGTCCCACCATTTGCAACAACATGGATGGAGGTAGGAGGTATTATGCTCAGTGAAATAAGCCAGGTGGAGAAAGACAAGTACCAAACAATTTTCCTCATTTGTGGAGTATAAAAACAAAGCAAAACTGAAGGAATAAAACAGCAGTGGACTCAGACTCCAAGAAGGGACTAGTAGTTACCAGAGGGAAGGGGTTGGGGTGGGTGAGGAGGGAGGGAGAAGGGGATTAAGGGACATTATAATTAGCACTCACAATATAGGTAGGTTACAGAGAAGGCAGTATAGCACAGAGAAGACAAGTAATAACTCTAAAGCATCTTAGTACACTGATTGACAGTGACTGAGATGGTGTGTGGTGGAGGTGGGGGGACTTGATAATATGGGTGAATGTTGAAACCACAATGTTGCTCATGTGAAACCTTCGTAAGATTGTATATTAATGATACCTTAAAAAAAAGTGGGTCATATAATTTCAGATTTAACTTCTTAAATTCACAATGAACTCAGTGAAAGATTTCCTCTTTCTTTTTACTGCTTCCACTATCTCAATGCTCAGCATAAGAGCCCTGGTCCTATCCAATTTACCCAAAGCTTTGGGCAGGTCAAGAGCCCTTTCCCCTTCACTAGTGAATTCAGCACTATTGTAAGAGACAGACATTCCTTCCTTCCCTTTTCACTTAAAGAAACACACCTGAATAGACTACAGACTAGATTGGGAGAGGGAGTGATTTTTATGATTTTTATTAGTTCTAACATAGTTATTGACACATGCTTGAAGACAATTTCTTAAAGAAAGAGAGTGGTGGTGGTCAGAAGGGGCAGAAATTAAGAAAGGGCTTTCACTTTATGCCTTGGAGGGCAGATTGTTTACACTTTAATTTCTAAGAAAATTCTATAGAATAAAATGGTTTAAAATTTCTTTTCCTTTATCACACATATGAGAAATATAAACTAAAAGGACATCTGGAAATTGACATTATTCAGCAATCAGAAAGCAAAAATCCAAACCATTGATGTTTTGATCAAGACAATCATAACGAGATTCACAAAGAAGAAAGCTGTAACCTATTGAAGTAAAAAAAAAAAAAATCCATATGCATTTTACCTTTTGGGCAGTTGCACAGCAAAGTTCTATTTCAGAAGCCCTTTGTAATATGAAACCCACTGTAGATAAGATACAACTCAAAGATAGTCTGTTTTGCAGCAGCAGGAAATCAAATTGGTTCCAGAAACGAAGTTACATGACAAATGGTTTAATAGTATTTCTAGAATTGGAAAGCTTGATTGAATTATTTTTCACAATCATTTAAAAAAAGCTTTTGAAATAACTGCCATGGGCAGATTTTTTTGAGGAGAGGATGTTGCAGAGGTAGAAAACATCTTATTTCATTGGCCTGTTAACTAACATGTTATAATTTGTTATCAAAATTTATAAGCTCAGTGATTTATTAACTTTTGTTTGTCACAATAGTTTTCAGACACTTTATTTAACATAGCTAATACATGTTATGGAGGATTAAACAGTTTAATATCTTTTATCATCATATTCAAGTTATTTTTAATTTTAATCTTAGTACCAATCAACCCTGCTTTATTTAAAAAAGCCTCTGAAAAAGTTCATTTAGTCTTAGGCGAGTCTTAGATTTTAGGAGAGATCTCGTAACGGTCAGCAACTGACGGTTCTGTCAGTAACACTGACAGAAAAACCTAGCAACTAATACCCATAGGTGAAATGAAATCATTCTCCTGACTGAAGTCAGGAACAAGTTAAATATCACTTAGACCACAGTACACGACTACAGAGATTTAGGAGAAATCATACTTAAATAGGATGTGACTAGACAGTTAGGACTAGTTTCTAAAATAGTCGAAAAACTTTTCCCTTCAGTACTTACAGTCTTTGAAGACTAGAGCTGGGTCTCTGTGAGGCAAGACTTGGGCAATGATGTGTCTCAGGGATTCCAAGGTTCTGTCCATCTTGGGTCTGCTGTGCGAGCCTGCTGCACAGTGTCCTCATGCCTGAATTCTTGCAGTTCTGGACTGAATTTGTGCAGCTCATTGATGCACAGGATTACCAAAGAATCCCTTTTAACATCTGCCAATCAGACATTTCCCAGAATGTAAAGACCCCTCAGGGGCCCTCCTCTCAGGCTCACTTATCTTTGTTGTATGCTGAGCTAATTAGCTCTAAAGGCTGGCTGACAGGCGAGTTCCCATTGCTTCCTTCTGTTAAACACACCCACCTACAGGCTAGCTGGGGAAGCTCGCTAATCATTGGAAAAGCTTTCCTCTCCAACCAGATTTTGCTTGAACAGTGTGCAGCTTTGACTTGGGTATTTCTTTTGGTCCCCCTTCTTCAAATGTGCTGTCTTCAGGTATACAGAATCTAGAAGGTTATTTTGCAAGAAAATTTCATTAGTAACAAAGGACATTCAGGCTCAGGTCTTCTAGCTCAGAATCAGTATACTCTTAAGTAATTCTTTGATAAAGAAGTGTTAGAAGGATTGTGGATGTAGCAGGGCCCAGATTATGCCTTCTTTTTGAATTCAGGAGCATCATTTTGGGAACTAACCTTTAAATTTTTCCTCCAACCCAAAATATACTCATTTCTGATGGACAGTGGCAAGTAAAACCATCACAGACTGTCTTCTGGTTTGCCTGGGAATATTTGTTTCTCTACTTATCCTTCAAGATAAATCATTTTCAAGACTGACTTTAATGAATTCTGGTATCATTCACTTCTTTTCATTTCATGATAATTCTATTAAAACTTTCAGGAGAAACAAAAATATATTTTTCAAAAGAATATGGGTAGTTATTAAAGGATCTTAAGAAAACAGATTCTTTTTTCTACCTGTATCCTACACCACTCACAACATTGTCAAGCAGTTGGGCCACAGAATACATAAATGTAAGTCATGGGATTCCTTTGTGGTAATAAAGATTTATGCCAGATATAAAATAATTGATTTTAATGTCTGTAACCTCTGTTAGTTGTTGAAGGCTTCTTGGACTTCCTTACTTAAAAATATTTTTCCAGGGTGGGCACAAGAGATTGCTATACAATATTTTTTCCTATTTTCAGATTCCATAATTAATGTTGTATTATATGATTAACTTAAACCAGCCATTTTAAGACCATGTAAAAATAAAATGTTTTCCATGTGATCAGCTTTTTCAACTAGTTGATAGAAGATGGACTTCATGAAAGCAAACAGCAGGAATGGAGCTGTAATAATGATTCCTATTATGACTATCACGTAGCCAATGCCCACAAGGAGTATATGCCTTGAACAACAGAAACAAAGATGTTATTATAAAAAAAGAACTTGAAAGAGCACTTCATGTTGAGACATTTATTTAGGGTCTCAAAGTATATTTTACATGGATTGTACCAAATAGGAAATTGTCAATGTTCTGCCATCCAGAAGTTTATAATTTAAAAGGTATACTAGATGGTTTATAGACAAAAAATATTATACATTATCTGAACACAAAGCATAAATGAATGCAGGTATTTTCAATGTGATTTTGAACTGGAAACCAAGATTTTTAAGGTTCCCATTAGAGAAACAGGAAAAGTAATACGGAATTCTCCAAGACTGATAATATAAAAACAAAAATTAGAAGTGGCTGATGCTGAGATTGCAACTAGTAAGTTAACTTTTTATGGGCTTAAACTTAATTCCAGTAGTACATAAAAATGTTGTTCTTTAGTGCAGAGGGAACACTGAATTTGGGATTAGTAAAACCTAGGATTTGATTTTTGTTATCTGTATAACTCTGCAGAAGACACTCATCTTCTCTGGCTTAGAGTCCTCATCTACAAAATTAGGGGCTTGGGCTGGGTGCTTTCCTTCAGATCTAACCTCTGTGATTGTATGGCTCAATTACAAATGAGCACAAATATCATCACACATTTTCTAGCCTTCTAGAAAGTCATATATTTGTTTCCGAAAACCCGGACTGGTCTTTAGAAATCACTTCTATTCCCATAGTCAGCTCATATCCATTTGACAATATGAGAGACACAAATTAATAGGGTGAATTCAAAATTACCATTAATGGTAACTAAAATGAAAGTTAAGAATTTATTATTAAAACTGATCTTCAATGTCTACAAGATTTTTCTAAAGATGGCAAACAGTGAACATCTGCTTAGGAAACCAAAACAGCTTTGCAAAGGTAATGTCATAAAACTGTCATGATCTTCAATGAGTTATATTTTAAGAAGTGAAAAAATTCTAGAAAAGTGGATTATGCAATATTCCAATTGGATAGTATAATTTCTTCTTTCTGATTAGGCCAAGTCCTTCAATTAGAAGTTTTCTGAAACCTTTGCTAATACATTTCTTCCTTGTCTGCCCATAATGACTTCTAAACCTTAAAATGCTATTACAAGACGTTCTGGCAAAACAACTCAGCAGTTTCTTACCATTCTCTCTTTGATGTAGAAAGCACATGATGGAGATGAGAGTCTCAGAAACCCCTGTACAGTGTGTCTATTTTAATACAGATTCTACAGTTCACATTCAGATTTCACTGTCAATCTCAACTATCTGTAGGCATATGCCAAAAGCAAAATTAAAGTTTTGAAACAAGGGAAGATGATTACAGTGAAAATCCAAATAATGTTTTTACAAATCCTGTTAGAGTATGACTCAGATATATGAGAAATGGTATCCAACTGATGTATTCAGTGATCAAAACTTATCATCCACTAGTAAGAGAGGAAGGCAAGACCACATTTATCAAACTCCCAGGGAGTACACAACTCATTAGAAGATGAGAAATCAAGACGATATACTTTGAACCATTTCATGCACAGAGCAGCAGAAAAGTCTATGGAACAATAATTTTTGCTGGTAAGAAAAAGAAAAATTTATTCCTATCATTCCAGTAGTATTTTTGTTGTTAAAAAGTTCGTTACAGGTACAGAAATGATAAGGAGGCAGGGGTCACCAGTTGAAATAACATCCAGAATATTAGAAAACATAATAAATGCATCAAAGAACCATCTTTAGTTAAAAACAGGAAGGAACGTCTACCATCCTCCTTGCCTCCCTACTTTATAACCTCTGCCCTGGAGGTGGAAGCTGGAGTAGGTGAATCAGAAGGTGGGCCTGTAGGTGAGGCTGCAGTGAAGTCGGTGAGATTCCAGTTCCTGGAAGATTTCAGTGCAAGGCACGAAGACCCAAAAGATTCAGGCCTTCAATGACCCGCCTGAGCCAACTTATTACTACTCATCTCTAGGGAATCAGATAACGGAGGAAGAGGATGCTGATTCAGATTCGGGAAGACTGAATCCTTGAAATAATTTCTTCACTTACTTGCTAATGCCTTCATTCTTAAGAATTTACAATTTAAGATAAATAAAATGAAAAAAAATTGGAGTTATGCAGTTAAGTAAATTAATACAAAGAGCAAATAGTTTATAGAAACAATGGGAAACTGACAGTAGCTCCTGTCAGATTCCAACAGGAGACAGGAAGAGAGAACTGGAAGGGCCTAAATGCTGGATTGGCAAAAGGGGTTCAGCGCTGTGTGCAGGGGTTCAGAGTGTTTCTGCGGATGTGTGGGAGGGTGAAGAAGGGCAGGGCCAGGAAGCAACTGACTTTGTAGAGGTAATGACTAATGACTGTTTAGTGTCAGCTTTGTTTAGCCTCAACTAGGAAGAGAGGAGTAGGAGAAATGAATGGCTGGTTAGCATCAACTTTGTTTACTCTCAACTGGGAAGGGACCAATGGGACGTTTGAATCAAGGTGTTTATGAGAGGGTCAGTTGGAAAGGCAACTTTTGATTACCAGACAAAAGATGTTTAAAAACACAGGTGACATAACTTTGTATCAGGTATTTGTTCATTGATACTTCACTACATTTAGGCAATCATCAATAAGTACTAATATGTTGAGCTACATGAGCAAATGAGAAAATTCTACAAATCAAAAGAATATACATTTCTTTATTTTTATAGAAACTTGTGAAAAATGCTTTTCTTAAAATAATTTCCTCCCTACCAGATAAAGCCATAGTGAATGGCCCTTCATCATTGCCAGGGCAATCAATCAATCCTTTTAACTTGAAAGTACAAGGAAAGTATACCTCTCATTTATCTGAGACTTGTTTTATATAAATATATATACATCCTAGTCCTGTCTTGGTATTTGTTCTCCAAATAAGTAAAATTGATTCTTCCAAGAAAAACTTAGATACCAAAGGTATCATAGGGGGAGGGTTTCCTGTTCACGGGTTAACACTTTCAGGATAAACTCAAGAGTGATTTAAAAGTGGGAGAATTTGGATGTATAATTTACAAAGATAGGAGATAATGATGCCAAGCCTGTGTGGGTCATTAGATATGTGTTCTGTGAAAACTGAATTATCTTAACAGTCTTTCAGCATAATATATATTTTGAAAAGGATGATAAAAAAATTCTTGGTTTCTTTTTGGAGTAAATTTTGCCAGTGGCCTTTACAATATTTTCTGTTTTATAATATAAAAGTTTATTTAATTATTGTTTCCTCACTCCCACATTTTCTCAAAGGACCACTGTCAACCTCCAGGCCCACCTCCCTCTTACAGGACAGGAATTTATTTTGGTGGGTGTTCAGCCAGGAAAAAAAAATTTTTACAAGTTGTAGCTATAAAGTGATCAAACTGAGACACACACCCAGTTTACATGGGCTAATCTGAGTTACTTTTTCCTTCTTTAGATAAAGTCATGTTTCTGGGCGCATAAGTTTCATGGAATGTTTCAATCTTTGCAACAAAATGAACAAATTAAGATGAAAATCTAGACTATGGAAAAAATTAATATTAGGTTAAAACAAATCATAGGAGAATGTTTATTGCTTATAAACAAATGATTTAAACCTCAGGTCAGTTGATGGCGATGTTAGGTTCAAACAAGCTAGTAATTTCAGCTCCATATATTTTAGATGAAGCTTCCTGTAAAGATTGCATCATTAGTATACTCTTAATTCAATTCAGGTTACTCTTATGGATATGCTTACATTAAGATAAAAGCCTTCTGCCCATCCATTTCGCACTGTAAACTATAATTTCCATTTTACTTCCTATGCAGTCACCACCAGAGCACTGCACTTAGCATGCATCCTGCTGACATAGAAGAAACATTATTTCTCTTCAAAATTTGTTTAAAAGAGGAATAGAAAAGCGCATAGAAAGGGACATATTTTTTCCACAAATTGAAAACTGGAGAAAGCCCAAGTTAAGAGAATAATATATTCTCAATAGCCTTGAGCTCAAGGAAAAAGAATTACTCCCCCAACACCACTCTGTTCCCTCCCACCTCCCCATGAAAAACAAGAAATGTTCCACTCAGGGCTTCAGTCTATTGAGAAGGGTTTTCCTGGGCTTATGAGAATATGAAAAGGAAGGAAACTTTGTGGAGCATAGGACTCAAAACCTGGACCTGGTTGTGAGGACTGTCTCTGCTCATACCTCCACAGGACCACCAAGACAAGTCAGTTTGTGGACCTTAGTGACTTTGCGTAAGAGACCCCTGGGCTGGCTCTGAACCACCTGAGTATGTCACTTTTTCTACCATTCATTCACCTTTCTGGTACTTCTCAATTTT